TAGGTCATATCGGCCACCCCTCCTAGTTTAGCATCATCACCCAGGCTCTTGGTGTCTTCATTTGAGACATTACAGAACCGCTGCGCTGTCTAGAGCCAGTGCTGGAGACCCCCACGTTGGCACAGCCAGTCTTACACTACCTGGCATGACTGTGCAGTAATGCCCTTGTGCCCTTATCAGTGTGATCTCCACTAAAATGAAAAAGAATACTCCTGGCTCTTTTGCGAAAACGGATGTTGAATGCAACCCTGCCAAAAGCTTCCCGATATCCACCAGCGTACCGTTTCCCACCTTCAGATTCTTCTAGAAAGCCTCCTTTGTCTGCAGTGGCGCACACTCCATTTTTCCTCTCTGCAATATTAACTGAATGAGGATGCACTAACTCTTTGCGAAGCCATTTTTCTGAAAGGCACTGCTCATCTGAAACACTGACGATGGAAGATTGTCAGAAATATTTTGCTAGTGAGCGCCACAGAGTATTTACCCTCGCTCTGTTGGAGCACGTGGGTCACCGAGGACGCCGGAGCTTTGCAGGGCTGTAATCACAGCGGCAGCTAGAACTCGTGCCACTGCCAGGGAATCCGAGGTGTCCTCAGTCCACCTGTTTAGCCAGCTGAGCAGGGATCCCCTTCCCTTTGCTTCAAAGGCATGTCTAGTAGTGAATTTGAGCCCTCTGAGTCAGTGGGGTCTAAAGGGAATTGATTATTTAATCCTTTTCTTTTTCTTGTTTCAGATTTACGTGCCTCTCATGCTGGTTAATGCAGCTGATGACCCCTTGGTGCATGAAAGTCTTCTAACCATTCCAAAATCTCTTTCAGGTAAGTGTTTTTTCCCGCTGCTCCCTCAACCACTCAGCAAACTGCCACAGTAAATTCTGTCCCCTTCGCCATACTGTCACCTCCTGACAGGGTTCTTATTCAGTCTAGCCTGATAGTCTTTGGGCTGTGTTGGGGCCTGGACCAAGCCTTCCCTGTCCTGGTGCAAGAGACAGGCCCGTCATTTACGTCCATAGCCAAGAGTGGTTTGCGGAGGCCGTTGGTGCTCTGCAATTATTGTCTCAGGGTTAACTTTCCATTACGTCTGAGAGTTTGACGTAAAGAGATCTTTACACTTAAAGCTTAATCTGAAACACACACACACACACAAAAAAAAAGCCAGTTCTGCTACATCTCGTGACAGCCAGCCTCTCCATCTGCTTTGAGGATAAAAATATAAGCAACTGAAAAAGCAAAGACTGTCGCTCATGGGAATGTTACCGTGCTTCCGGCCGGCACAGTCTCACGCTGCAGCAGATAGGAGCAAAAGGCGAAACTAGAGAGTAGCAGAAGGAAACCCTTGGGGATTCCAAAGTTGCGTTGAAATTCGGATCCCTAGGACCGCATCTCCTCTGTGATTGCATTTCCTCTGTAAGTATCGTATGTTAACCAGAGGGAAGAGGGATACTACTGGTTCTCTTACAACCCTAAGCTAGAAGAGTAGATCATATAGCAGATGGGCCCCCGCCCTGCCACCAGAGAGCTCTGGTGGTCCGCTCAGCGTGCATGCTGCATGTGTTGTGGGTGTGTGACGTGGTACGAGCTCTCTCCCGCCAGCCCCTGCACAGAAGTAGCCCACTCAACCACGCGGGCAGCAGACAGAGAAGGCAGCAGTGCTTGCTTCTTTCTGTACATCTAACGTTGACAGCCATAGCTCTGCCGCTGTCACACAGACGTGTATGCAATAGCGACTGCAAGGAGAAGAATAAAAGGGGTCAGACAAGAAAAGAGCCCTGGAGAGGCACAAGTATGCATGCCAGGAAATGCCTCAGAGGCCTGGAGCAGCCAGCAAGGGGTCCCTGTCAGTTATTGCCCCAGGAGGATAGCTGCTTCCCCGCGGTGCCTGCCCATTTTGCAGCTGTCTGCAGTAATGGCCGATACTAGCCCATGTGCAACTAACCTAACTCATAAAGCCAAGCTCCAGGTTGATCGTTCTCAGGATGGCCGTGTAGCCTGTGCTGTGGAGAGCTTGGGCATCTTTTAACACCACTGGCAGCTTTACGTTTCGGTCTTAAAAGATGAAGGTCTTTAATGAAAAACCGTCAATTCCATTGAGTCCACCGTGCTCTCCAGTAAATAATAGTGTAAATGCCGTGCTGTGAATCCTTTCTCAGAGCGTACCCCGCTCCCTCGCCCCCACCAGCATGGGCATCGCCTGCCTGAGAGTTTGGCAAAAGTGCAGAATCCCAGCTCCTTCCCAGGCCTGTGAAAACAGAACCTCCATTTTAAGGCGCTACCCCAGGGTTTGGATGCACAAAGCTGGGAAGCGCTTGGCTGCACAGTCAAATCACGGGGGAGTGTTAGCCAGCTCCTGGCTCCCCTCCTCTCACTTGCCGACCCCCGCAGAAATTCTGATGCGTTTGATCTGGGTGCCACATAGGGACATTTACACCTATTCTAATATGCAGCCGCATTTGAAAAACACAGGCTTCTAAGGATCTCTTAGGCAGGCGCCCATTCCGCTCCAAAGCCAAGCTGCTGTTCCCAGACCTGCTAGAACCCACTGTCTTGCCCGCCCCACCAGTCTCCCTCCCACTTTGGTGAACGAGGCAGTGAGTAGAGGCCGAGGTTGGATGGCCGAGGTTGGATGCCCGAGGAGGTGACCTTGACCTATGGGGAAAGCCTGGACCACCCTGGCCAGCTCGCTTTTGCACCTGCTGCCGTGGCGCTAACCAGAGGACAGTGACTCACTCGGCTGCCTTTCCCCTGCAGAGAAACGGGAGAACGTCATGTTTGTGCTGCCCCTGCACGGGGGCCACCTGGGCTTCTTTGAGGGTTCCGTGCTGTTCCCCGAGCCCCTGACGTGGATGGATAAGCTGGTGGTGGAGTACGCCAACGCCATTTGCCAGTGGGAACGTAGCAAGTTACAGTGCTCTGACACGGAGCAGGTGGAGGCCGACCTGGAGTGAGGCCTCCCGGACTCTGGCGCGCCCCAGAAGCCTTTCTCTGGAACCCGCGTCCCTCACCGGCTGCTTCAGGTCCCCGTCTCCCTCAGTGACCTGGATCTGACCTCACACCGTCAGCGGGGGGGCCACCACCAGGCACACCTGCCTTGGAGTGGGCAGCTAACCCTGGGAGCCCCAGGCTATTTTTATGCTTAGTTACTGGTTTTCTCGACTGCATTGTTAGCCATGGTGACAAGTGACAGGCTTCTTCCCCTCCTGTCCAGTTTCAGCATCATCATGATTGCTTTTAAGCCAATGACATCTAGTTTCCCTATTAAAAATGTGTCCGAACAGCAGTTTTGCTTTGCCAATCAAAAGGCTTTTCCCCAAGAACAGTGAAGGAAGGCTGCCTGTTTGTTCGTGGTGGTCGTATGTGTCCTTAGACAGACCTGGAAAAGAGCCCACCAGCCTACGGACCTGGGGCCTCCCAGGCCGCAGTGTGGCCTCTTACATGGCAGCGGAAATTCCCTTGAGTCACAAGCCAAGTTTCTCCCTCACTATCTCCTAAAGACAGTGTCCCTACCCTTTGCCGGTAATGAGAGTAACCGGGGGCGCTTGTTAAAAATTCAGCCTCCCGGGTCCCTCCCCTTGGAGAAGCTGATTCAATAGGCCTAGGAAGGGGTCTGGGAATTTTAATTTTTGACAAGTGCCCCCGGTGATTCTCACCACCAGGCAAATTTCGGAAACACTGTTCTGCAAAGCCTTTAAATTAGAAACGTCTCGGTAGATAATTGTATTGAAATTCATAGTCACAGATGTCACACAGCTCCCAGAGGCCTCCAGAACCGCAAGGCCTGTCGTGAGCAGCTGCCACTATGTGACCTCAATGTGATGTCATGGAAAGGGCCTGGGCTGGGAGTGAGGAGTTTGGGCTGCGCCTGACTTCTGCTTCTCACTGGCTGTATGACCCTGGAAAAGTCCCTTTGCACTTGGGTTTCTTCACCTGTAAAATGGGGCTTGGACTAGGTAGATTGCTGAGATCACTACCAGTTCTAAAGTTCAATGACAAACTCAGTTTACTGAGGTTTGAGAGAACATCCCTCCAGGGGAGGCTGGGAGCTATTCATTAATGCCATCATTTGCCNTAGGCATAGTCTAAAGCAAGCTAGGTTCAACCTGTAGATAGGCAGATACTGACCTGAGCGTATGGGGTCTGTACTTATCTTCCTTATGGAATCTTAGTAGCCTTCTTACACCAACTGAACCTTGAAAGGTGCCTGTTAACAGTCAATCAAAGGAAATAGATACTAGGAAATTGCTGGTATGTTCAGAAGTTGAGAATGAATTTTACCCACCCTCACTTAATTAAGATGGGGTGTGTGACTTTATTGTGGTGTCTAATGAGAAAAAAAAAAACAACCCAAATTTGTTTCAATTTCCTATTCATCTTCAGAATTTTTTGAAGCCCAAAAGAGAATGTTCTTCAACTCTACCTAATGTGCTTTTGTTTTAACAGTGCTAGGTAGTAGCAGTTTTCATGATCTTCACCAGTTTAGGCAGCCTCCTCATAAACCTGTCACCAGTGACCCTGGAAGACTGGGAGGGCTTTCCTGGCCCACTGAGACCACAAAGGGACTGATTTCATGAAGACAAATGTCCTGGAAATGATCTCAGCACATGGCCCCCTGCCTACCTAGGGGGACCTGATAGTGCAGCCTGAGCTTCCTGGGTCCTTCCCAGGCAGAGACGGGCCTGGAGCCTGGTGGTCGTAAAGGCCCACAGCTTTGAGGGAGGCGGGATACCTTGATGACACCAGTCAAGAGTAGACAAATCAGAGGCTCTAATCTGTGTCAGGAAGAAATGTGTTTTTCAGAGACCCCCTGGCCTAGGGTTGACACAGGCTGCTTAGAGCATGGGGCAGAGCCGCTCTGAAGATTTGTTAAATGTCAATTTATGTTTGACAGCTGAAAACAGAATTGGTGACTTTGAATCCCTCATTCCTGTTCCTCGGCACATTTCATTCCAATTCACAGTGGTCCAGGTTACTCTGCCAGGAAGAATTCTGTTGTGAAGAGAGTTCTAGTAAATGCCTTTGAATTTCAATTTCTTAGTGTCTGCAGTGACATCTGGTTTCATACCATCTCGAAAGATGTAACATCTGTCAATAATTAACTGAAGATAACTCTAACTTTGTAATTACTCTGGGCCAGGCACTGTGCTAGTACACGCTTTAATGTCATAAATCTCACAGTGCCATTAAGGAAGGTCCTGTCCTTAGCTCCATTTTACAGAAGAGAAGCTCAGAGAGGTTAAACCCTTTGTGTAAGGTCACACAGCCAGTAAGTGGCAGAG